CCTCTCACCCCCCCGGGGCCGCCTCTACCGCGGTCTCCTCCTGGGGGAGAGGAGAAGACCCTCAGAGCGATGCCAGGGGAGACCCAGCTCCTCCGGCCTGTCAAACCCTGCCCCGCTGAACCCGGCACATCCAGCTCCGGCACCAAAAACGGGAGAAGGTCCCGGAGCTGTTGGGAACGCTGAGTGGAAGCAACACCTCAGCTTCTCCTCCAGGGCTTGGAGAGACGGGGCTCGTTAAGAGGACGCTGCCTAATGAGGTGGAAGCGGTGCTTTGGGGAACAGAGGTGCTGAAGATGGCCCCAAGGAAGCTCAGGAAGAGCTGGGAAGCGTGGGAGAGAGGCGCTTCCCGGGAAGCGCGTGCCTCCGGCCCCACCGCAAAGCCTTCCCCACACGTACCTGGAGGGGGGAAAGGGGGTGGAAGAAACCCTTCTGGTTTCGGAGCCTTGCACTGGTTGCATTCCGTTCTCCAGGCGAAGTTCTGGTTTCCACATCCCCTGGGTAAAAACACCGGTTAGCAAAGACCGGGAAGGCATTCCCGGCTGGATAACAGTGGGAAGCGCTGCCCCGACCCTTTGCAGAGCACATGGAGAGGAGACACAAAAGGTGGGCAAGCAGGATGTGGAGCAAGTAGCCCAAGCTGCCTGTCCAGCCACGCCCCCCCTCCCCCCAGGCATAGACGGGAGAAAGGAACTTCCTCGGAAGGCCCAGCAAGTAATTTTGGGAAAAGCCCATTTATCCCAGCCAGCACCTCGGACAAACGAGCCCCCTCGGCGCTCTGAGGCCGTTGTCACCACGCGGGACTGCCCACCGGGGTGCCAGGCTCACGCGGAGCTGCTGGAAGAAGACGCGGGCAAGCAGGGGACACTTACGGATTGGGACACTGCCAGTCGCCGGCTCGGTGCTGGACGCTCCCGCCGGAGGGGTTTCCCCTGGATCCCCGCGGTCCTCTGGAGGAGAAGCCACCCCTGTCTCCACCTCTGCCTCCCATCCGGCCCATGGGACCGCCGGGGCCACCGGGTCCCCCGGGACCTGCAAGGAAGCCCCCAGCCGGGGCCAGACGTTACCTCCGCGGAGTGGGGGCGGCATTCCCCGCTGCTCCCGGGGGGGCATCCCGCCTCGCATGCTGTTCATGGGACCCTTCTTCCGTGCCAGGGTGACTTTGAGCTTGCTGCCCTGGAAGTCCTTCCCTAGGAGGGATACAAGGGCGAGAACATCGCTTTTGCGCTTGCCGGCGGTCCACCACTCGCCGCGCCCCGGCGTCACTCACAACTGCACCAGGTCATTGAAAAATTTACCCAAATGTCAAAGAGAGCAGAAAGGGCAAAATTCCATCCGGGGGAGCGCGATAAAGCCCCACTACGGGAGACGGCGCATCTATCATAGGTGTCTACAGGAGACGGGTAGGAAAGGAGGCCGAGGGGAGACCTCATCGCTCTCTACAGTTCCCTGAAAGGAGGGTGTAGCGAGGTGGGAGTCGGTCTCTTCTCCCAAGGAACAGGCGACAGGATAAGAGGAAACGGCCTCACGTTGCGCCAGGGGAGGTTTAGGATGGATATTGGGAAAAAGTTCTTCACCAAAAGGGTTGTTGAGCATTGGAACAGTGGTGGAATCGCCATCCCTGGAGGTGTTTAAAAGCCGGGCAGACGTGGTGCTCAGGGACATGGTTTAGCGGCGGGTTTGGCAGCATGAGGTTGATGGTTGGACTCGATGACCTTAAAGGTCCCTTCCAACCTCAGCGATTCGATGATTCTGTGATCCTACAGCAGGTGGCAGAAGCCTGGGCAACTCGGGACAACCGCAGCCCCAGCCCCACGCTTATCTGTTCCAGGTAAAACCAGGAACTTCTTAGCAAAAGCTCCATCGCCCAGAGCTGCCCTTTTAAATGACTCTGATGCTCCACGCGCCGAGGAGGGAAGTGCCGACTTCAGTCGGACAAGAATTTAGCTTTGAAATGGAGAACAAAGCGATTCCATCCCAACGCACGCCCCACCTACTCACCATCAAACCATTCCACGGCCGTTTTGGCGGTAGACGGGTCATCGTAAGATACTGTGGCATCTCCTTTGGGTTTGCCAGTTTCTTTGTCGATGTAGAGGTTTATCATAGGTTGCCCGGTCCTCTTGTTCATCTGGCAGGAGA